TGGCTATACAGCGTTAACAAAAACGTTTAAATTTTTTTTTTTTTTTTTTTTGTATACAAAAACGTTTGCATTACTGGATAGTGAACAATCTGAAATCTACATGCCAATTAAAATTAAAATAGTCGAGGTCGTACGAAAGGCCTACAAAAAAGAAAGTTGAAACTCTTTTACTCATTCAATTAACAAAGTCTTAATCACTAATTACTGACACCTTACCTGATCCCCCGACTCATACTTACTAATACTCTCTTTGGTGTTTAGCGAATATTTTATTTAGTGTGGCCGAGTCGTTGGTGCGCTAGTGTCAGTGCGACGCGGCTCATATTATTCGGATCTCTCTTTTATTTCTCTTTCTTTTTCTTATAAAGCCGTTATTCTCTATGATTTTCTCTCTCCCTTTCTCTTCCACTGTTCCCCCTCCGCTCAGGGAGGGCTACAATTGAAACATTACCAAATTGATAATTAGGAAGTGTTTAAGCATTGAATACCGAGTTGGATGATATTTGATTAATTTACAGTTAAAACAATTTTTCTTTTTTTCTTTTCTTTTGTACTGCATTATTTCTGACCGATAAGATGAAAAAAATTTTCAAAATTTTATTTCATTTCGTGAAAAAGAAACTAATAACGAGTTCACATGTATATGAACTTATCATGCAAGCAAGCTGGTTTATCACTAATTTTTTAATAGTTCGAATCATGTTGGTGGCAAGAAATTATTTAAATCAACGAGATGGCAATTGCAACGAATGTCAAAAATTTAGGATAATCCAGTGTTTCAAAAGTAAATATTGTTTTTCATTGCTTAAAAATTGGAGAAAAGTATGGATTCGAAAAAAGAAAAAATGCACGGTAATAAAACTATTAAAACGAAAAGCCGATTATGGTAATAAATTTCGCATAAGACAGTCCCCTTTGAATACCTTGCAACGGGAACAGCTAAGGCCCGTGTAAAGGTCCAGTTGCTTAACCGATGAAATCAAGTCGTGAAGACCGATCTGAAACATAAGCAGCCTCGTACAATCCAGTCATCATTCAAAACAACTTTATAAGGAGCCATTATAATTATGTTTTGGTTTAAATAAATCTTCTAGACTTTTGTGAAAGTAGTCTCTTGACTGTTAACAATTACGTAATTGGTGATAACAGTGATAATTCAAAATTTGTCGTGCAATTTCAAATTTAGTTTAAAAATATTTACAGATATTTAACATAATCTAGTAATGAGAACTTAAAAATCGGATATTCATTTGATCCAGAAGAATAACAAAAATAAATTAATTTAACAATCTCAAGAATTGCAATTGTTGATTAATGAAATAATATTTCCATTTATAATACAAACGACTATCTTGTGTAATCTTAAATAAGGCACTCCTGTTGAGCAGCAATGGTGCCTAGAAAATAATCGAATTTTTGTTTTGTTATCAAACTTTTACTTTATTAGATAAAAATAAATTTAAGTAGACAATATCCTATATTGATAACAGTAGCACAAGTATGTTCTCATAAATTAACGTAAAAATGATGGTTAAAAAAATAGACATGATTAATTAAAAAGGTTATCACCTGATAAATTTCCGTCCAATGAACAGTTTGTAAAAAAAAAAAAAAAAAAAATTAAAAAAAAAGTTTATCTGTTGTTTTTGTTGATGTAAAAAAAAGTTTCAAGCACAATCCTAAAAGTATTTCTAAAGCCAACAATTTAAATTAACATCCCTTGCAGTATTAATTCAAGATTAATCTTTCATATTAAACACATACATTGTTATTGTTGGTGCGATCAAAGTGTGCTGCATTCCTAAATCGCTATACAATTTTATTTGTCAGTACAATGAAAACATTTTTTATTTTGTAGTTATAATCTAAAGAATTCATTGTGATAAATTCAATCATTCAACTATCGAATTATTTTCCAAGCTTTACGAAAATTATAAGAATTCAGGAAAATTATATTACAAGACTCCTTAAACGCGTTCTAAATTACTTAAAATGTTTCATTTTTTAGACACGTTTGCAAAATCTATACACGTCAATCGATTTGTAATTATATATATATGTATATATTGTACAATTTGTTATGAAACACTTTATAATGTTCAATAGTGATGTCTCGGTAAGACACTTGCAATTAGAATATAGGAAAAAATATTACATACCCCAAAATGTTACTTTCTTTCATTAAAATAGTCTAGAATTCACGAGGGTGATTTTGATTATTTTACACAAAAAATGTGACACATTTAGAATATTGAAACGCTGCCATCGTTATCTCATCGAAAATTTTTTTTTTTAGCAAGAAACTTCATGGCACTTTGCAATAGTTAAAACGTAAATTTTAACTAGACAACAACAAATAACCAAGTCTAATGAAAATTCAAATTATTATTTGGAATAGAAATGAAAATAAGTAGAAAAATAAGCGGAGAAAAAAAAACGAAAAAATCTCCCTCGTGGTTTCACGCCGCGAAATGTTTATTAAAGATTTTCTCCCTCGATTCGACAAGGAGATGCAAGTACGATTATTGTATTTCGTCCATTAAAAATGTACAAACTCGATGTGGCGTAGGTCTGTCCTCAAGAGTTTGCGAGGCTGCCTGGTCAGGTTAATTCTATTGCACAGATAGGTATTAACTCTCCTAGATTTTTTCTTGGATGAAAGGATGGGCTAGTGCATGATTAACAGTTATCCGTTTGGCAGAGTCCAGCATAAAGATACGCTCGAGCAGGTCTTTGAGTTGGGTGACCTTACGCGCCTGTTCCGGTGGCAAAGAGTTTCCAAGACCCAACTCTGTTCCAAGGTCACGGGTAGCTGGCAGCGTTGACATTTGAACTACTTTTTCCTGTTACAGAAAAAGCAAGAAAAAATACGAAACCATCAATTATCTGCGAGTACTTTCTTTTAAAAAAACGAGAAGGTTAAAGTGTCATTAATATCTTACCCTCTCTGTTACTCTGTCAACTTCATGGTACAGAAAATTGCAATTGGTATCAAAATGATGATCCTTGAACTGGCCTTTCCTAATTATCTTATTTGGCATTTTGCCTTTTAAATCCATGAAGAATTTTAACATTTGATTATTTGTTTTGCCGGAATACATGATTTTACCGGTATAAAGTTCAAAAATCGTACAGCCAACAGACCACATGTCAATGCCAAAATCATATGGTATTCCAAGAACTAAAAAAAGTGTTCATCATTTAATTGAAAAGTTTTATCTGCAGACTAATTTTAGTTATCTTATTTCACTTTGAGAACTAATAAGTTGAAAAAAAAAAATTTTTTTCGCACGTATGTACAGGTACTATGAATAAAATGAAAAATTCGAAATACTTACTGATTTCGGGTGCTCTGTAAAATCTTGAAACTAGGTAAGGCGTGATCTCATTTTCGTGAGCAAATGACGCAGATCCAAAATCGCACAACTTTAATACTAATTTGCTCTCACTGACTAGAATATTGTCTGGCTTAATATCGGCATGTAATATATTTGCTCGTTTGAGTAGCTTTAGGGCTAAAAAAAGCTGTTGCGTGTAAGACCTGACTGCTTTTACGTGCAAACCAACATCTTTGCCGTATTTTTTTAGTACCTAAAAAACGAAAACCATGAAACTTTTTTAAATACTTACGCAAAATTAATGAAATATTCGTACCTCTCTTAAATTCATGGCTAAAGATTCAAAAACCATACACAAATGATTTTTATGAAAGAAATGCCTAAACAATCGTAAACAATGAAAACGATCTTCTGCATCAGCATCATTTAATTTTCTAAGAATTTCCAATTCTTTCAAACCTGTTTTGTGCCTGAAATCACATGTAAAAAATTTAGTCATATGTAGAATTCAATAATCAATGACGTTAATACTAAAATCATATGTACATTATTTCATTACTCCTAATAATTTTTACAGCAACATCCATACTGCCGCGGACAGTGTCCCTAGCTCTTACGACATTACTAAATACACCTTGTCCAGTGTAACCATACACGACATAACGTGAATCTAACGTTTCTCCAACGCGAACCCTTAAATAAAATAAATTCAGTTGTAATGTATAATAATAATAAAGTAATGCGAATCTTTAATGGATTTTAATTGAAATAATTTACCTGTAATAACCTTCAGCATCATCCCAATTATCAGTTAAACTGGGGTTATCTGGTCCACCAAGGCGTTTACCACCTTCAACTGTTGGACTCTATAAAGAGATAAAAATCCAATTAACAATAGCTTTTATAAGAACACGTTTAAAATTTCTGATAGTGTTCAACTTACATTGAAATCACCAGGATTGTCGACTTCAGCAAACATATCCCATTCATTAGACTTTTTAGAATTGAGCTTTTCATCCAACTTCTTGTCACCCTTGTTATCTTGTTTGTCGGGACTGAGCTTCTCATCACCTTTGTACTTTCTTTTGTGAGGTAACGGTGGTGTATGACTCTCTGAAGCAGAATCATTATTATTGTTATTAATATTATTGACAGTTGAATTATTGTTAGACGTGCTAGACTGATGCTCAGACGGTGGTGATCTCGTTACGTTCATATCAGATGAAAAGTTCGAGTCATCATTGGGTGCTCCTAGCCTCTGTAATTTTAGGAATAAATTTATTTTAGCATTTATTCATTTTTTTATCTCAGAAATCGTTATAGAAACATAAAATTTTTAAATACACACCTTTAAAAGTTCTTCCCTCTGCTTTCTGCGGCGCTCAATAATGGCCTCTTCATCCTCATCCTCCTCAATGTCAATATCTTTGATTTCCTCCTCACTAGAGCTATCAGAATGTTCAGGCTTGAGACCCTCAGACAACGAGTCTTTGAATTTATCGCCACGCTCGCGTTTACCATTCTTTTCACGATCCCGACCACTATGTCTGAGATCTCTATGACTCCGATCCCGTGATCGCGACTTTGACGATCGTCTGTGACGATCTCGACTTTTGTCGCAATCTCTGTTCTTGCCCAAACTCCTGGAGCGCCTGCCATCGCGAGATCGAGGTCTATCGTGGTTTCTGCGTGAATCCAATCGGTCTCGACTTCTTTCTCGGTGGAGTTCTGATCGGCTATGCCTGTCCCGACTATGCCTATTTTGTCCTTCTCGGCTATGCTTGTCTAAACTCTGATAATCGCGACTGTGCGGCTGATCCCGATTGACATGACGGTCTCGACTGCTTTCCTGACGACTGGCCGTATGCGAGTGTCTAGAGGAATCGTGATTCGGCCGAGCTGTGCTACTGCTGCTACTTTTCTCTACTTCTCGCTTTTTTTCCTCATCCCTACTGTTTTGAAAATTAAAAATAAAACTTGTGTTGGCAGAATCTTATTTTATAAATACATGTTTATTGTCATTTTATAATAAAATTTTTACCTCTTTTCGTGTTCTCTTTTCCTTGAGTCTTCTTTTTTGCTAGCTTCTTTACGTCTATCATCCTCTGACTTTTTTTTCATGCCATCATCCCTCCTGTTTTCCTCCTTCAACTTTTCAGAAGGCTTTTTGGATTGCCTACTGTCGTCTCTTTTTACTTCGTCTCTGCTTCTATCTTTCTCATGACGTTTTCTATCTGACTCTCTTCTTCTGTCCATTTCGTCTCTGGACCTCTTTTTGTCGAATTCACCTCTATCCATGTCGACCACGACACGTCTATCTGACTTTAACAATTTTCGGGGTTCAAGTGTTAAGGAGTTCCGAGGACGTTTTATGAGGGGTTCAGTTACGATCTCATCGCCACTGTCCTCAACTAATATCACATCCGGTATTTCTTCCTTTTTCTTTGCTCTCGCATCTCTTTCGGATTCATCGGATAAATATTGTACTAAACAAGCTTGAAGACGCTCCTTCAATTTGAATACAAAAATCAATTATTTACAGAAGAAAAAAAAGACACAATCATTTATCAACTTTGTAAAATTCAAGTACACGGGTTTACCTTTTGTTTCATTAGTTCTTCTAAATCTATGTCATCTTCAATAATTGCACAGTCCACTTCATCAGAATCCAAATCTACCATCTTCTCTTCCTCGCTATCTTCAGTTTCGCCAATTTCCATGACCCTACTGTTAAATTTGCCATTAACTTCTTTTTTATTAACAAGCGAGCTGACAATTTTGTTAATAACAGCTCCGTTCCCGTTCTCTTCACTCATCTTGCTCTTCTTCTTTTTGTGCTTTTTGTGTTTCTTTCTGCAATCATAAATAAAAAAAAATCAAAGCAATTTTTCGAAAAAACATCATAAATTCAAGCGATGATTGTTTAAACAAACAAAAATTCTCACTTCTCTTTCTCCATCTTGCTGTCAATTTTGTCCGAAGACTTGTCCTTTTTGTGCTTATGCTTATGTTTCCTCTTCTTTTTCTTTTTGTGCTCCACAGACACATCGGAGTCGGTCAACTCACCAGGATCTTTTTTGGAGTCAGTAATGCACTCAATGTCCGAGTTTCTGTAAATAAACAAGAAAAAAAAAGCCCAATGATCCCATGTCACTTCTAATTGATAGAACACATTCAATCTAACCTTGATTGAAAAAAAAAAAAAAATAAGAGCTCACAACAATCCAGTATATTATACATACACACAAACACAAACGCGAAACTCTTTGCTCCAGATTTCAGATATACTTATTCGTCACTCTTGACAATATGTAACGTAACGCACAATATTCCCATTTGCGTGCATGCACACCCAGAGCCACGACAGACATCACTAGCTCTCGAAGACGATGGTATCGTACGCCCTTACCATAACTTACCGCGAGAACATTCGTATACCTACCCCTTTTACAAACGCACGTAATTTAGTCGAAAACTTACCCCATGATTGCTGGAGTAATGGTTGCGGCACGCAGCAGGGTATATCTCTCCGGCGACGAGCTGTGTAGCAACAAAAAGCAACGTTACGATGGGTAGACGAGGACGAAGATGAGGACGACGGACGGCGAGCGCAAACCAAAGCCAGCCAAGCGTATAATCCGCTGCGACCGCTGATGCGTCGCTGCGTGATGACGACGACGCGCACCGCGCGCACCTCGCCTCGAACTTTTTGTACAATATCTTTACACACCACCAACGATCACCGCACACGCTAATTTAATCTGCTTCTTGTTTCAGTCTAATGCGGTTTCTAATGTATGGGTAACTGTTCTGGATACACCCATTTTTTTTATCGATTTCCCATTTTATCTGGTTGATAATATGCACTTCAATAATGTTAATTAACGTTTCGATATTAAGCTTATTAGCTTACTCTGTAACCATCACGAGAGCAGACCAAAAGTATGAAGTATACATGTATGTTCTCTCTCTGCTGTATAGCTGTGTACGTATATATATGCGAAACTGAAAGTAGTTGCCGTAGACGACGGCGACAGCGTTTGCGTTTGCTAATATGACGTCACACGTAGCGCCAATTTCGAAATTTCGCACGTTACACTCAGCAACAACGACTGTATACGTGCATGACCTTTACAACAATGCGTACAAAAATGTGGCTTGGAAGCTGTTGTTATGGTCGTAAAGGGTCAATTTTATTTTTCGATGCGGCACATATATTTTTCAGTGATTCACAGATTACCCGATGGCAAGCAAGGTTATATGTATACTTAAATATTGTAGCAAATAACACACACGCGAACTCCACTCATAAAGTCGTGGGTAAAGCACAAGTAAGTATATACCTACTCGCAATTAAAGTTTTCAATGTAAAGGATATACATAATACTCCCAAACGTGAACGACACAAAAGATTATATATATATTAAAATATACATATGGCGTAGCCGAGGAGAGTTTAATTCATGGTATAAAACATAACAGGCAATGAAATAAACGGGGTATTTCCACAAATGTGAGAGCCACACGCGGAACTCGACCGGAGGGCATTAAAAAGATAGCGCACTGGATCCGCATCTTCAGTCGCTCGTGTACGGCCTCGCGACTCGCCCGCCTGGTTGTTGTACAACATATTTTACCCCATACACGCGCATTTCTTTCTTTTTTTCTTTTCTTTTTTTT